CACACCATTGCGGTGAACGTAGATCAAACACATGACCTTTAGATCTTCAGTCTGACGCTCTGCCAACTGAGCTATCCCCGATATTTGCTAATGTAAAAATGCATAAGTAGAGCTATCCCCGCTACAAAGTTTAAATCATTAAGAAATATTTCACAAATACATTCCCTTGATTGCAATCTTTCAGTGGCTCATGTGTTTAATTAGACTATTTGATCTTAATAATAATGAATATTTTCTTGGTGAAATATTTCTTTACAATTAAAACTTTGATGACAAAGTTAATCAATTATGTGCATACCGAGGATAGCTTAGTTTGGAGAGCATCAAATTGAAGATCTAAAGGTCACGTGTTCAATCCACGTTCACCGCATTGGTGTCGAGAGGCATAACTAGACTATGCAATCCCACTCGTTAAGTTGGGTAATCACTAACGTTGAACCTCATGGAGTATATAAAGGAGATGAAAAGGAAGGGAAAGCTCTATAATAATTCAAGAGTGCTTGCAACTATGCCAATCTTCGATTCTTCGAGCCTCAAGTTTGTTATTCTCTAACCCCAAGCTGCAAGCGAAAGGGAGTTGGAACATTCACAAATTTATAAAATTGATTTCATAGTCAAGTTATGGCTTTTACACACCATTGCGGTGAACGTAGATCAAACACATGACCTTTAGATCTTCAGTCTGACGCTCTGCCAACTGAGCTATCCCCGATATTTGCTAATGTAAAAATGCATAAGTAGAGCTATCCCCGCTACAAAGTTTAAATCATTAAGAAATATTTCACAAATACATTCCCTTGATTGCAATCTTTCAGTGGCTCATGTGTTTAATTAGACTATTTGATCTTAATAATAATGAATATTTTCTTGGTGAAATATTTCTTTACAATTAAAACTTTGATGACAAAGTTAATCAATTATGTGCATACCGAGGATAGCTTAGTTTGGAGAGCATCAAATTGAAGATCTAAAGGTCACGTGTTCAATCCACGTTCACCGCATTGGTGTCGAGAGGCATAACTAGACTATGCAATCCCACTCGTTAAGTTGGGTAATCACTAACGTTGAACCTCATGGAGTATATAAAGGAGATGAAAAGGAAGGGAAAGCTCTATAATAATTCAAGAGTGCTTGCAACTATGCCAATCTTCGATTCTTCGAGCCTCAAGTTTGTTATTCTCTAACCCCAAGCTGCTAGTGAAAGGGAGTTGGAACATTCACAAATTTATAAAATTGATTTCATAGTCAAGTTATGGCTTTTACACACCATTGCGGTGAACGTAGATCAAACACATGACCTTTAGATCTTCAGTCTGACGCTCTGCCAACTGAGCTATCCCCGATATTTGCTAATGTAAAAATGCATAAGTAGAGCTATCCCCGCTACAAAGTTTAAATCATTAAGAAATATTTCACAAATACATTCCCTTGATTGCAATCTTTCAGTGGCTCATGTGTTTAATTAGACTATTTGATCTTAATAATAATGAATATTTTCTTGGTGAAATATTTCTTTACAATTAAAACTTTGATGACAAAGTTAATCAATTATGTGCATACCGAGGATAGCTTAGTTTGGAGAGCATCAAATTGAAGATTTAAAGGTCACGTGTTCAATCCACGTTCACCGCATTGGTGTCGAGAGGCATAACTAGACTATGCAATCCCACTCGTTAAGTTGGGTAATCACTAACGTTGAACCTCATGGAGTATATAAAGGAGATGAAAAGGAAGGGAAAGCTCTATAATAATTCAAGAGTGCTTGCAACTATGCCAATCTTCGATTCTTCGAGCCTCAAGTTTGTTATTCTCTAACCCCAAGCTGCTAGTGAAAGGGAGTTGGAACATTCACAAATTTATAAAATTGATTTCATAGTCAAGTTATGGCTTTTACACACCATTGCGGTGAACGTAGATCAAACACATGACCTTTAGATCTTCAGTCTGACGCTCTGCCATCTGAGCTATCCCCGATATTTGCTAATGTAAAAATGCATAAGTAGAGCTATCCCCGCTACAAAGTTTAAATCATTAAGAAATATTTCACAAATACATTCCCTTGATTGCATAGTCAAGTTAGGACTCTCGACACCATTGCAGTGAATATGGATCGAACACATTAACACCTTCAGATCTTCAGTCTAACGCTCTCCCAACTGAGCTATCCTCACTATTTTAACACAATAAAAATGCATAATTAGAGCTATCTCTTCTATTTAATGTCCGCTAATTAGTTGAGTTATGCTTAACTAGACAATGGATTACAATAAAAAATAATATGTGTAACTTTCTATCAAAGTTTAAATTGCAGAGAAATATTCACAAATTAATAGATGAATAGTCTAATTAAGACTTTGGCACAAATGCGGTGAACATGAATCAAACACGTGACCTATAGATCTTCAATCTAACTCTCTCCCAACTGAGCTATCCCCACCATAAGAGAATGGTAAGTGATAAAGCCCAACGAATTTCAGAGTTGTTATGTCTTTTGCAGCTTCGATTGATTGCTATTGTATGGATTGTTATATGGATGTTGTTGTTTGTTGCCATGCCTATTGATTATGAAAATAATTATTTTGGAATCACATTTGTGAATGTTATGATTTTTGAATGAAATAAATGTGATAAGGGTTACACGCTTTGTGTATTGGGTAACCAGCCACTATTGGTCACATCGGTGATTGATGAAATTTATAAACGTGGTAAGGGTTACACGTTGTGTGTATAGTGTAGCCAACCACTATTGGTCACTAAGCATTGGATGCTGAAAGCTATTCTAGGTGAGTAGATTACATGCTATGTGTTATGAGTAATCATTCACCAAGGTCCCCTGATTTTGATTGATGAAACTATACGATCGTTTACATGTCTAACCACAATAGGGGAGTTAATGAGTATTTTCGTACTTACCCTATTTTCAAATAATTTTCAGGTAAGGTTGTAGCATGGGAGTGACTGATGACTCCTGAATGTATATAGTAAAATGGTGTAAAATTCACAAGAATACATGTAAATATACAATATAGTAAATAATAAGTAAATTATAGTTGTGATAGAGAACTTTTTTTTTTTTTTTTTTTTGCTACTTTTGTTGATGAGAATTAAGTGAGTTTTTGGTGTTATTCAAATGGATGTTGGTGAATTTAAATTAATCATAAAAATTTGATTGAGAGTTCAATTGTTCTCGACGAAAAACAACTAAAAAATCAAGGAAGCTTTGGCTAGAACTGATAAAATAGATAGCTGGTTGAATTTTGTGGTGGATTTTAACTCATTTTAACTGATTTGCAAATCCACAACACTTTCAAGGGTCATGTAGGGTGATTACTTATATAATAGTTTTGTAATCTCTAATAACATGGTTAAAAAATTATTCACAACCCTTCGACTATGTTCAAGTATCATTGCACGGTTAAAAAATTATTAACAACCCTTCGACTATGTTCAAGTATCATTGCAATGGAACTAGAGTATTAAAGATAATTTCCTTACTCCCTCTCTTCTTTCGAATAGGAGAATAATAAGAGAACAATTATATATGTAAAGTGGCCAACTAAACAAACATGTAAATCATTAGTAACAACTCTTTATAAACTAAAATCACACCATCGACATACTTAAACTACATAAAACTGTTCCACCTCCCTTATAAGGCTTAGCTCTCCATACAAACTGATTTCAACATAGAAATCAACATCTTAATCATGATAGAATAAGAAAAGAGAGAAAATGATTAAGAGTATCAAGCTTTGTTGGTGTCCTTCAATGGAAGTCCCCCTCCTTTGAGCTCACTCATCCACCTTTTTGCCTTAATATATCATTCTTGGTTTTCTTTTCCTTCTCCTACCAACAGCTGCTGAATTAGGATTCTTCTTCCTTCTTGGTTTTCTTTTTCATTCAGTAGACATTAAAGGATATCAAATATATTTATGGAATCAAGAAGAACCTGATATGCATTAGTCAGTTGGATATCACAAGTTATGCAACAAAGTTTTGGAAGAGTTCATGGAAGATTGTGAAGGGTGCTATAGTGGTAGCACATGACACAAAATTTAGAACCTTATACACCACTACAGGGTGTATGAAAATGGCTGTGGTTGCTGGAGTGCTTCAAATTCAAGTCTATGGCATAATAGGCTTGGCTATATGATCGTCAAAGGAATAAAGAGGCTAGTTGCAAATGGGGTTTTAGAAAGCTTAAAATTTGTTGACATAGGTCTTTTTGAGTGCTGTGTTATGTGAAACAGAAATGAGTTAGCTTCACAAAGGCTGCTAGAGAATCAAAGAAAGTACGATTAGAAATGGTCCATGCAGACGTTTGGGGACCATCTCCAGTTTCATCACTTGGCGGGTCAAAGTTCTAGGTCATCTTCATCAAGATTTCAATAGGAAGGTATGAGTTAATTTCCTGAAATACAAGTCAAATGTGTTTGTCACCTTCTAGAAGTGGAAAGCTGAAGTTGAAAATCACACCAGCTTGAAGATCAAATGTCTGATGTCTGACAATGGAGGAGATTACGACAAGTCAGAGTTTATAACATTTTGTGTGGCTGAGGGAATTAGATTAATGAGGATAGTTCCTAGTAAGCCAAGAAAAAATGGTGTTGCAGAAAGAATGAACAGAACATTAAATGAGCGGGCAAGAAGCATGAGGTTTCATTCTGGATTGCCAAAGACATTCTAGGTCGATACTGTAAATACAGAAGCCTACTTGATCAACAGAGGACCGTCAGTACCGTTGAAGTTCAAGTTTCCAAATTGAACTCACGTACTCTCAATTGAGAACTTTTGGTTATACTGCGTATGTTCACGTCAATCTAGAGAAAAGAGACAAACTTGATGCTAAGGTAGTGAAGTACTACTTCACAGGCTATGACTCTGACATGTTCGGGTACAGATTTTGGGATGACTAGAATAGGAATATCCTAAGACATTGTGGCGTAACCTTTGATGAAAAAACCATATACAAGGAGAAACAAAAGATAAACTTTAAGACTATGAAGCAAGAGGGAGTTAAGCTTGAGTCACAGGAAAACTCACCTAATGATGTTATAGAAGAAGCTCGAGAAACTCCTGGGACCGTTAGTGAAGAACCAGACGTGGAGCAAGTTACACTTGAGCAGGTGTTAAGGAGATCATTCAAAGGTATCAGAGCATCAGATAGATATTCACCTTCATTACATTATTTGTTGCTAACTGACGAAGGAGAACCACAATACCTTGATGATGACCTATAGTTGGATGATACAACCAAGTGGGAGAAATCCATGGATGATAGAGTGTCTAGGCTTCAGAAATGCGTTGCTCTTTCATTTACTGAGGCTTAGTACGTGGAAATAGCTGAAGCTGGAAAGAAGATGATATGGATGACAGACTATCTAGAAGAATTATACAAGAAGCCGTGCAAGAAGATTCTTCAGGTGGATAGTTAGAGTGACATGCAATTGGTGAGGAACCTGATGTGTTTGGAGAAGATAGAGAATGTAAAGAATCCAGCAAACATGTTGACAAAATGTGTTACGTTGGAAACTTGAGGTTGTGCAAAGTCTTAATTGGTATGGTGTAGTGAAGATTGAGAATGAAATTCTTAGTTGGCTGGATCAATCTCCGAGTGCGAGATTGTTGGGATATGGAGCCTGATGCCTATTTATAGTAAATATTTCGTAAAGATCTGGTAGAGATATATATGGTAGATATTTCGTAAAGATGTGGTGTATATATACCGTAGATATTTCATAAAGATTTAGTAAAGCTTTATTTAATAAACTGAAACGATATATACCTATCAGACCATGCTTTCCAGACGTACTTTTATTCATTCTCTGTATTCTGTTTTGGCGTACATACCTGAAGTCATTAATAAAACCTTTAGCCAATACTCTTTGAATTTTCTCTCTCTTGTTCTTTGTGTTCATCTCGATCGAGTATATGTGTTGTTGTGCGATCCTAACAATTACTTCAATAATAATTTTGTAATTTCTAATAACAGGGCTAAAAAATTATTCATAATTTTCTCTCTCCTATTCTTTGTGTTCATCTTGATCGGGTATATCTGTTGTTGTGCGATCCTAACAATTACTTCAATAATAATTTTGTAATTTCTAATAACAGGACTAAAAAATTATTCATAACCCTTCAGCTACATTCATGTATCCTCGCAATGGAACTACAGTAGTAAAGATAATTTCCTTGCTCCCCTCTTCTTTGGAACAAAAGAACAATACGAGAACAACTATGCATATAAAGTGGCCAACTAAGCAAACATGTAAATCATTAGTAACAACTCTCTAATAAACTAAAATCACACCGTCAACATACTTAAATTACATAAAACTCATCCACCTCCCCTATAAGGCTTAGCTCTCCATACAAATTGATTTCAACGTAGGAATCAACATCTTAATCATGATAGAATAAGAAGAGAGATGGAATGATTAAGAGTTATCAAGTTTTGTTGTTGTCCATCGATGGCAGTCCCCCTACTTTGAGCTCTCTCATCCACTTCTTTGCCTTAATCTATCCTTCTTGGTTTTCTTTTCATACTCCTATCAACAGCTGCTCAATTAGGGTTTTTCTTCCTTCTTAATTTCTATTCCGTTCGGTGGCCCTATTCTTTTTAGGTAATGATAAGACAACTCTAATTCTCAGCCAATAATCCATCTTTTGTTGAAGCAATAACCCTTGAATCAAAGAAATTAACACCTCCTTATACAAACTACGGATCAATCGTGAGATAATGCTAGAATTAGATTAGCTCTTAAGATTAAAGATCTAGAAGCAAGATTTGGAATCTTGTTCTAAACTGAGTCACTCCAACTTGATCAAGGCTTGATTGAATGACTTAGATGCAATGTAGCTCAAGAATTGCATGAAACATAGACATGACAAAGATGATGCTCGAATTTCTAAGGGTAAAAGTCTCAATTTGAGATCTCAATTTCATTCATCTGAAATCTGCCTTTTACATAATAATTTGTCGGTATTTATAGTATCCCACAAAAGAAACTTTCAATTCTTCAAATGCCCATTTAAGATGTTAGTGGCATAGTTTAATCTCGATCCCCTTAAATCTCAATAAAAACGAAGTCAATTTGACCAATAACTTCCACCATTTTGCCCAATTAAAAATAATAAGTCGCAATTTATAGCAACTTCATTTGCTACTTCAACCGTGCAAATATTCACTTCTGAAGCTCCAAATGGTCATTTCTCAACCGAATAAGCTTGTAACACATGAAATGATGGTTGAATCGAGGCTATCCAATTTTGTAGATGAAGAATGAATGTTTGTTGGCTCTTCTTGGCCTTGGATTCTGTAATAGGTCCAGTTGGAACATCTGGAACACCGTGATTCTTATCAAGAACCATAATATCCCTGGACCATATATGGTATCATGTGTGGAGATGATTTAGTGCTTCAACAAAGCCTTTGTTTCATAGACTAGTCTTTGGGTGGTCCATAGATCAAATAGATAGATTATGAGAGGAGAGAAACGAGTATGACATGATGTTATAGTCCTACTTTAGAATTGTCATCTATTCTTTGGTATGTTTGCACCCAGATAGGATCACAACCATAGCGTTTACAGCCCATTAGTGTCACTCAAACGTGGGTCGTGCCTCACCATGCCATGCATGGATCACTATATTGTCGTGTCTCACCATGTGCATATACATGTATGTATCACACAACACATACATACACACATATGATAGATACATATATACATGCATAAATACATACATACATATACATATACATATACATAAACTATACATACAAATACATACATATATACATATATATATATGTATGTATTTGTATATAGCACATATTTATACATTTTTATAATTTTAATCATTTTTATTTTTATATGTGCAAAATTTATTAAAAAACATTTGCCCTAAAATTTTAAGATCCACTTAACAATAATTATTTATTGATAAAAAAATAGCTTATTATAATTTTATTTTGATTTTTTAATTTTCATGTTTTTAATAATGAATCGATACATTATTTATTTTTTATTAAGAAAATTTCTTAATAAAGAAGAAATATAAAAGAATATATGGAGTTATACTTACCATATTGAAATCTTTCGGTAGATATTCAACTCTACTTATGTACTACAATTAGTGAAAAAATAATTCATCTAATTAAAGGTTAATCAAATCAATATAAAAATATCATTTAAGGCTAAACAAACAATTATTTTGGATTCATGTTTTAGATTTAGTTTAATTTTTTTTTAGATATAAACTTTTTCAATCCAATAAATTCTTATCAAATAATGAATGCAACTAATCTAATCATAAAATATTCACCTTACGTTGATTCGAATTGTTCGAGTAATTTAATAAAAATAAATTAATAACTTGTTTTTAAATACCGATTTAGATGACTTGGTTCTTCGAGTAACTATTTTACGCTCTAATACACATAAAATAATTTTTAAAAAACAAACAACAAAAACAATACCAAATTTAAAATGTTATCACTACATGTCATATTTTTCTAAACAGTCTATTGAGCTAATATTCTATGTAAATCCAACCATTTTATTTACAACTCAATTTTTAACCCTTTAAATAATAATAATAATAATAAATCCCTTTCCTATTTTGATTCCTAAATTATCCTATAAAATCCTTTGTCCCCCAATCTAAAAATCATAAACTCACAAACAAATTTCATCATGGAACTTCCTCCAAAACCCATAAAACTCAATTTAATTTTTCTTCTTCTTTCCCTCTGAATTTCATTTTTCTTTGTTTTCTTTCTATTGATCTTGTGGGCTTGGCTTGTTCTTCTACTTTCTTTGGTTTTCGTCTCGGATTACTTCAAATGATTATGGGTTTTTGTTCAAAACCCCCAATGGTTTATTGAAGAACCTTTTTTCCTGGATCCTTACTATTCTCGATAACATTCGAAAATCTAACCAACAAAAAGAGATTGAATCATCCTGGATTTTTTTCGGTAGGTTACCGCAGCGAGAATCTCGCCGTGATCGTATTGGTATTGGTGAGCTTAGCCACCGTGGATACTATGAATCCACGTCTAAGTTCGAAATCTCTGGAATTTCAGGCGATCAATTGTCGGAAACACTCGGCGTTGTTAACGGAGTTTGGCGGCGTCGGGGATGGAGTAACTTCAAATACTCACGCGTTTCAAAAAGTAATTGAACATCTCAGCACAATGGCGGCAGATGGTGGTGCTCAATTGGTCATGTCGCCGAAAAAATGGGTGACCGGATGTTTTAATCTGACTAGCCATTTCACACTTTTTATCGATAAAGAAGTTAAACTTCTGGCATTCCAGCCTATCGTGTATTTTATTTTTATAAACCTAATAACTTTGGGAGTGGTGATTTGAATTTTAATCTTTGATAAAAAATGAATGAGTTAGATTTGTTCCTCATAATTTAATGTGCAGAATCAATCAGAATGGCCACTTGTGGAAATTCTCCCATCCTATGGGAGGGGAAGAGATGCTTTGGGTGGATGGTACAACAGCCTTATCTTTGGAACTAATCTCACCTATGTGGTTATCTAGAGTGATTATTTTTTTTTTACTTTTAACATTCTATTTTTTTTAAATTGTTTGCAAAATTATAATAGGCTTAGGTGCTATCCAAATTAAATAAAAAAAATTAAGGTAACTCAAAACATAAGAAAAACATTTATAGAAAATAAAATTTGGTTGGTCACATGGTGTAGGTAACAACGGTATAATCGACGAGCAGGGATCTTCTTGGTGGAAAAAGTTCAAGAAAGGGGCACGCAAGGTAACACGGCCATACGTGATCGAGATCATGTACTCTGATCAAATCTAGATCTCCAATCTCACTTTGATCAACTCACCTTCTTGGTTCGTCCATCTGATTTATAGCAGGTTTGATTTCGTCGGTGTTGGCTCCAATCACCGTACCCAACACCGATGGAATCAATCTAGGTTCCCTTCGTCTTCTCCTTTAAAACGTTAGGGTTCTTTTCTTCCTTAATCCCTCTCCCTAATTCTCCATTCAATTTATCAGATTCTTGTTCCAACACTCAATCAAAGACTGCTACATTGTCTCCAATGACGATTGCATCGCCATCAAGAGCGAATACGGTATCAAGTTCGAAATGCCGATTGAGGACCTCGTCATTCGCTGCCTCACTTGCATCTCACCAGATTCTGCAGGTATTGCCCTTGGCAGCGAAATGTTCGGTGGAATTCGCAACGTCAGGATCGAAAATGTTACAGCAATCAACACACACTCTGCCGTCAGAATCAAAATTGCTCGTGGACGAGGCGGTTTCGTCAAGGACATTTTCGTCCGAAGAATGTTTCTATCCACGACGAAATACGTCTTCTAGATAACTGGAGACTACAAATCGCATGCAGATGACAAGTTCGATGTTAGATAAAACCTGAGTTTTTTCTTATTTAGATTCACACAATTTCATTAGTTCTCCGTTTGACCATTTGACAAACACGTCGAATGGATTAATCAAGTTTTAGACCTAAATTTTGTAGGAAGTGGCATAGATTTAGTTGGCCACTGTCCAACAATTTTTAGGCACAGTAAAATTTCAGCCATTCTCTCTCTTTGTTATTTCAGACATTTTATTTTTCTTCCAACAACTTCCTGTCGACGATTTCCTCTCACCGAAACGAAAGTATTTCTTGGCCGATTATCGGAAAACAACATTCGATACCTCAGCATTGCCATTGATTAAGAACATTAATTACAGAGACGTGGTGGCCGAGAATGTTAATATGTCGGCAAATTTGGCGGGGATTTCAAGAGATCCATTCATGGATATTTGTATTTCGAATGTGAAGATTGTATTGTTGGTGACGCCTAAAAAATTGCAGTGGAACTGTACGAACATTTTGGGATTTAGTAGTGATTTGGATTTGCCGCCATGTGCTCTACTGGCTAAGGCAGTGAAAAGCGGTGGATGTGACTTTCCTAAGGATCAGCTGCGGATTGAGAATGTTCAGTTGAAGTCATGCTTGGTTGAAATTCCTACCTTCTGGCAAAGACTTTGTTTTTATTTTTTTTTATTCTATGGAATAAATGATAATGAAAAATTTAATGAAGATAATAGATAAAATGAGAAGTTTTTAATTTTAAAAATAAGCTATTTCAATTAGATTTGTAATATTTCACTAAACTGTAACTCAAAACCATCAAAATAATACTCTAAAAACTGAAAAAAAGAGAAAAAAAGTGTGAAACTATGGTCATACGTGACATTTGTAAAGGGTAATTAATTCTTCTTTTAAGAACTAGTCAGCTTTTACTTTAGTTGTTTTTAGGAAGCTAATTAATTCTTCTTTAGGAGGATTCTTGGGCAAGCCCACTTTGTAAGTTGGGTAATCACTAACGTTGAACCTCATGGAGTATATAAAGGAGATGAAAAGGAAGGGAAACTCTCTAATTCAAGAGTGCTTGCAACTATGCCAATCTTCAGTTATCACAAACTACAAACTCCTGTAAACTTCTCTTCCTGCTTTTATTACTAACACAGATTTATGAACTCTGTCATCGTAGCTTAAGTTACCATAGAAATAATTAATTTACAAATAGTAAACAAGATATGGGCTCTTATCCACGTGGGAGTAATACATCGAAAAAGGTTTGAAAAGATATAGTAGATCGACAACCTATACATAAAAGTTAAAATAAAGAAAGAGAAATAATTTACAACATTCATCAAAGAAATTGATGAGAAAAATGAAATGAAGGAGAAAACAAAAGAGCAAATAATTTCTCAAGAGGACAAATTTGAAAGAGGGATATTTGAGAAGACATTCATTTTGGGATTTTGTTTTTTTAATGACTATTAAGTCTTTTGTAAATGGCGATTTTTAACAGTTGAGAATCCAGAAATGGATCATTGAGATCATAGATGGTATCTTCTTCTACTATAGAAGGAGAACATGTTGAACCGACCGATGCGACCTTTTGAAGAGCTTTTAGAAATCAGCTTCTAATGTTGTTTGAGCTAATGCAGCAAGCAGCCTAGACTTTGAATTAAAAAACTTGGTGGTTTTCTTTTTGGATAAATCTTGAAGGTGACATAACCAGACCTTCACTGATTTGAGATCTGCGTGAATATAAAGTGTATTTATCCGACCATTAGATTTTGATTACTTTGAAGACCTGTTTTACTCGATCTTCAGTTTCCTTTATTTGGAAATTCAAGTTAGAATAAAAGGAATTTAAAAATATATGCTAAAGCGCATATCTAATGGAAATGGAGTTTTTGGAGATATTTTGAATGAAGTAATGAAACGATTCCTGTATTGGAACAAGAAATATATATTTGACAGATCCAAAGATATTCCACACTTTGATAAACCAAAATGGATAATGAATTTTGTTAGCATTATGTTAGAATTGGATGAACCATGAATGTTCGTAATTTTGATACCAAATGTAACACCACATAAATGAAGGAAATTAGATCTAACAAGAATAAGGCACCCATGTAAGACCCAAGGATTAAAAAGGGAGAAATTAAGAGGATTAAGCAAGGATGAGGATATTAAGAAAGTCATTCCTATCTCCTAACAAGTAACTTAAGGAGTTAAAAAGACCCATGGAAAAAGGATTGGAGAGTATGAAAAGGGCAAAAAGGTCATTTTCCAATTATTAACGATCTTCCAGAATTTTTAATTCCTTATCTACAAGGAATTTTAAGATGCTCAAGAAGGAAAAATGACCGGGGTGAAGAATATCTAGAAAAATTATGGATTTTTCAGGAAAAATAATATTAAAATATTCGGAAAGTGACAAATGACCAAAATGCCCCTAGAAGAACGAATAATTACGAAAATGTCACTATGATCAGAATCAGAGCGTCTACAGTGGCAATCTGAGCAAAATCTCTCGGAACTCAAATATCAGCCGTAGGATCTTCCCCAAAATTATATAGATCTAGAAGATGGACAGATCATCACATCCAACGACTACAAAACCAATGTCAGTGAGGCTCTGATCGGAGTAGATATTTCCAGAGGATTTTCCACAAAATCCAATTGCCAATTCTCGATGATTCTAGAGCTTTCAATGTCGGTTTAAGCTCCACCTATGAAGTCTAAAGTAGGGGTAAGAATATGGAACAAGACTCGAGCAAGGTCGAGCACCCATTCGAGAGTTATGAGCGTTTAGATTGTGGGTCTCCTACTCTCGGGTTTCTTCCAAATTTGAGAGCAATTCTCCACCATTCCTCCTCAAACTTATTCCTATAGTTTCTAAACAAGATTACCCACAATTTCTATGAAGGAATCGATAGCTGAAACGTCTTGAATAAGATACCCAAGAGATCGAAAATCCGACGTTTCGGGTGAGTTGCATACCGAGAATGATTTCTCAAAATTAAGAACCCACACTCAAAGACATTCTCCAAACCAATTCCTATAGCACGAGGAAAGGATATGAAAGAGGTTCCATGAAGAAATCGGGCCTTAAAAACCCCTAGAATCGGCTACCCGATAAGAAATCCCATGTTTTAGCTCCAGCGAGGAAAATGATTTTGGACAAACTTTGGAGACGAATATCTTAGGCTATGATCCATGAAAAAGTATAAAATCAACCCCATGATCTTCCTTGTAATACCCTCGTTAAGTTTCATGAAGAAATCGAGGGTACAAACGAAGATATCGGGGCTGTGGAAGGCCACTTTCAGACGGCAGCGCAAAGGACGCGCGCGTCTTGTTCTTGTTCCCTCGGTGTTTCTCAATTTTAACCCTCCTTCTAGACTGGTTCTCATGACAAAACTTATGGTTCCAAAAACTAGACACAATTAGGAGTCTATGGAAGGAAATGTAAAGTAATTAGGATACCAGAAGCTTAAGAACGGAGGTCCCAAACGTCGACGATGAGGTAAGTAGCCACCTTGGACTTTTCTTAAGAAATACTTGTAGGAATCGCTTGGATTTTCATATAAACCCTAAACCAAGTATGACAAAGGATATATGGAAGAAAAATCCAAAGAACCGTGAGTTAAGGCTCTAAACCGACTAAATTACTTGAGATTTAAGGAACGTTAAGATAAACCATTAAATGATCTCTAATGCCTATGAAATTTTAATGCTGAGCATAATATATCATGTTTAGGTTATGTGTGAAATTTAGTGGTCAATGGATAAGGATAAGTAGGTAAACTAAGAAACGGGGCAAAATGACCATAATGCCCTTAAGGATATCTACCTACGGTTCATGACCTAGATGACCTCCAAATGCTATGAAACTCTACAATATATCTTATTGTATGATGATTGATGAGGTGGTGAAGTTTGAAAGCCACTGGTACTCGTTAAGTAGCAAAACCAAGAATTAGGGGTAAAATGACCATAATGTCCCTAAGGAAGACTACGTACGGGTTAAGCTCTAAATGACCTCCCAACATTAGGAAATATTGTATGAGTCCTTATCTCATGATTTTGTATAAGTAATGAAGTTTGGGAGTCATTGGGAAACGTTAGATAGCGAAACCAAGATATGGGGAAAAATGTACATCACGATCCACATGACTTTAACTCCTAGGATGACTAAGGAGGTACCCATGAAATAAGAGATTCCCCATAGGTACCCTTGGTTACTAATAAGATTCTAAGTGCACAAGGTTACGTTGGGCTATTCCTAAGAAGAACCTTTAAGTTCCAAGCTTGACCCAAGACATTATGCATAAACCTTGGATCCCCAAGAATACAAGGAAACACCTAGGTTAATGCAAATGGTATGCTTAACAAGTTGCTAGGATCCATGCCCGGAGTAACCATTATCTCCCATCACGAAGTGTACCACGAGATCCTTATTCCTCTTTAGGTGAGATGTCCTGCTATATGTACCACGAGCAGATTGTCATGATGGACTTATTATTTTCCTCACCTAAATGAGATGCCCTGCAACACGATATGCCAATAGGATACCACGTTTATGATAATGTCACCTATGTACTTATGGGAAGAAAACTAAGGGTTACTATGAAAGTGTTTTCAGGACCAAAACACGATATATGACATGACAATCTCTAAGGGTTAGTTCCTGAAAACGAAACAAGAAGTCATATCCTAGCTCAAGGTCTAAATATGCTCCAAATCACCAACCATGTCCTATAAGATCTATTCTATATGGCACGAGGATAAGCTCAAGATTTCAAGTTGGCTGGAGCAAGTTTGGAACATAAGCCAAGATGGAACTTAAGAAAACGCCGAAAGAAAACATGTCTAGATTCAGACTCTTCTAGAACTCCTCTAAAGAACTCCCTAGGAATCTATGACCTTCTAGAACAACTCACGCTAAGATGGGTTCATATGATTACGAATGCATGTTACAAGATATGCTTCAAGAAAATAAGAA